CCCTAACCCTAAATCTGAATCCTAAGCCTACTGTACAGAGCCGCCAGCGTCTTTACATCCGAGATCTGAGGCTGAATATTTGCAGGCATGCGTGGCCGACTGAGATCAACGGCCCCACCAAATTTCAGATCCATCCGACCGTCCATCGCAAAGATATGGACTCCGCAAGATCTCTGAACCGCATCCGGTTTGCCGACCTCGAGTTCGCCGACTCCGAGTTTGCCGACTTGAAGTTCGCCGACCTCGAGTTCGCCAACCTCAAGTTCGCCGACTCCGAGTTCTCCGAAGGCGTTGACCGCCGAAGACGCAGTTCCGCACCTTTGCCTATTTGTAATAGTCACTCCCGACACCTATAACTCACAGATCCTTGATCCGTTTCAAGAGTTCTTGGGCTCGTTGGAACGAGCGCGTCGAGCTCTTTCTAACGAGACCCTAACTGAGTCAAACCGTTACGAGTTGAAAGAGTTATGCCGGTTTTATCCTTCGCCGAAGGCACACTGTCGAAGGCTTGTTATCTATTATCGCCGAAGGCGCCCGCACGATGTTTCGCCGACTCCAAGTTCTCCGACCTTGAGTTCTCCGACTTGAAGTTCGCCGACCTCGAGTTCACCGACCTCAAGTTTGCCAACTCCGAGTTCTCCGACCTCGAGTTCGCCGACCTCAAGTTCGCCGACTCTGAGTTTGCTAACTTGAAGTTCTTTGACCTCGAGTTCGCCGACCTCAAGTTTGCCAACTCCGAGTTTGCTGACTTGAAGTTCTTTGACCTCGAGTTCGCCGACCTCAAGTTTTCCGACCTCGAGTTTGCTGACTTGAAGTTCGCCGACCTCAAGTTCTCCGACCTCGAGTTCGCCGACCTCAAGTTTTCCGACTTGAAGTTGACCCGAAGACGTCCGTCGCCGAAGGCGACCATCTAGGGCCGAAGGTGTATATTCTGCTGACGACGAACTCCTTCCGCCTATCCGTAGGCGTTCTCCTTCGCATCTTCCAACAGTCACAACTCCCTGAGTCCTCATCCGTTGCAAGCGTTCTTGGGCTCGTTAGAACGAGCGCGTCGAGGTCTTTCAAACGAGACCCTAAGTAACTCAAGGCGTTAAGAATTGAGGAAGTTATGAGTGATCTACCGCCGAAGGTGCTCGAAGCAAGTCCTGCAGCGTGAACCGCCCGTTCCACTGTGGCCTAAGCCCAAAACCCCTCGACTGTCCTCGATCCTCTTTTTACTCTGGCTTTGCGTACCGATTACTATTTACAGCTGCTACCACGGTATTTACTAATCAAAAATGTTCTAATTCCGACGAAAAACAAAAAGTGGGTTACCACACACCGTAACGAGTACGTAACGGCAGCGGGCTTGGACCTGTTCAGGAATAGTTACAGGCTTTGGAATTTAAAATCCAGGAGAGCCGATGTGGAATGTACGATGTTGCCGTTGATCTCGTAGAATCAGTAAAATTGAAACTATGACTCATCTGCAAGCGGCCTTATGAGTTTAAGTTCAAAGTTCAGTAGGGTACGGTTAAGAACCAAATATACTTTATACAAAGTAGTTGCATCCTACCAGGTTTCCGACCCCGACATGAATGCAGTGTTGTACGTGCTCGCGGGCTCTTACTTGCAGTAACTGCATCTCTAGATACAATTCACAGCACACTTCTGTCTGATTCAGCTTCCCATCAAAGAGGGGTTACTCGTGTGCTACCATCGCAACAGCACCTCCATTCAGCTCCAAGTACGAGCTTTGAGCCTCGGGCTTGTGAGCGAGATGAGATTTCTGTGTGGGATAATAAGAGTTGTACTAATCAACATTTATGGACAAAGTAGGGTTGGAGAATTCTATTCAAAGATTCAGGGTTCTTGACGTAGTTCTTGTAGTGATTGTTAAGATTCAGAAGAAAGTAGCTCGATCTTCCCCACTTTGAACACTTAGACATAAACCATATTGAGACTGCAGATTACATCAGTAATGCTAGCAGGCCCCGATACAAGCAGACAGGAAAATATGAAGTAGACCTAGCAGACGCAATGGCTTGACTGTAGAGGCACATGATGTAACTTCCTGGGGATGATGTGACGGGTGACTCAAAGCTGACACCCTTGCTCGTCGTGGGCGCGGTCGAATCGAATTTTATACCTCGGCGTGTGGTTCCGCTGGCCACGATATTCCAAGTCGGCTATGACAAGATTGAGGATTGTGGGCTTTCAGGAGAAGGAAGACATGAACTGCTGGAAAGAGGAAGCTGTGTCGATTATATATTGAGATTGGAACGCTTCTAAGGCGCTTGAATTGTGGGCATCAAATAACCGTGATAGGGTGAACGAGTCTGGGCCTGAAAAAATGCTCAATTCAGTCCTGCATCTTTATTGTTTATAATTTTCACCATAGTTTCTTCCAGAGCAATTATTCCGAGGTCTATCGAAAGAGCTTGAAATGCTGGCGTTCTTCGTGGATGTCCTCAGCAGACTAAAAGTTCTGTGGAGAAGTTTTTGACGACGAACGCTTTGCACGAGTGGGCAACAGTATGTGTGTGGGGTCGGATATTCTGGCCCGCACGATAAGTGGCGGATGGACTCCTGGGGTGCGACATATCTCGTGATTGTGGATAACAATATAATACGTGCTGTAAAGTCCAGAAGGTGACTTTACAATCAAATAGAGATCCAGATCCAGGAGCCTCCAACCGAACTGACTGGAATCGTCAGAAAGGCGAGGGATGAAGATGTAAATGACCATCAAGCTGTTCCCACTAGATTACCTCCGTGGAATAGACCTGTTGGACGGAAAAAGTGTTTTGAATCAGGACGCACTCATCCAGCGAATTTGAATGCGGAATCAACTAGAAACTTAAGAAACACCGATGCGGTGTGGTTACGTGACCATGAACATCGCACGAAATGAACACTGTTGTGTCCGTGGCATTGTTCTTCTGGCCAGGTTTTAAGAAGATTTGCAATTTGATAGGTTGCATCGAACAGGCAACGTTGATCTCAGCTCTCTAGAATGCACTCTCTCAGCAAGATGCACGTGATGAGAAGTTTCAACTGCAGAGACTGTCGATCATAAGCCCTGTTAAGTTGGAACGCTATTACGCACTTGGATTCAGATGAAGGAAAAAAAACATACCGATAATTTTTATTTGTCTCCTGTTATCGACCAAGGCGTTTCACTAGATCATAGCTAGTACTTGTCGAGGTAGTTCACATAATTTTGTGCCAACTGTTTGTCTGACGAGAATGTAATACGGTCTGAATTCTGAACAGTCCATGAATCGGGCTGGGGAAATATATACTCGAGCTTTTTCCCTCAGGTGCACGAGTGATGACTCGACCGGGGCTCAGACAGAACGCTTGCTGTCCGCGGTGGGACCTGATCTGCGTGACGATAAATGTGCATCACCAGCACTTTGTTACCGTGTGAAACAATAATTAATTTCCTACTGTTATATCGACTTTCGCACCACGTTATCAGCACCACACGCAGCCAATCGTAGGTCCGGTTCCGTCATACCTGCAACAATGAAGGCTTTTAAGTATTCGTCTCTAGGCTGGACATGTACTAGATGTTCTGCTGGATCGCTGCCCCCATCCATTCTCATCAACCACACGTGACCTTGCATGGGCATTACCATGAATTAAGGGACCCCAGTTCTTTAGAATATGCAAACAGTTTTCTCGTCCCGAACTTATCCAGTTTTGGCATACGGCCCGCAAGGTGAGTCTCGGATTTCTAAGCATTTGGTACTGAGAGGCCCCGGATGGCAAATTGAACTAAAATCAATACTAAACTGATTGTAGGCTACGTGTGCTCGAACACTATGGTACTCAGGTGTAGGCATGAGTGACATTTGTGAATGAGTCTTTACATGTCAAGCAGCCAAACTGTGGGCTCCACGTTGTCGACTTGGAGAAGGGACTAGTACTGACTGGTGCCAAACTAGTACCGCACCCTCAATGATTACACAAAAAGCTCCCAGTTTTTTTTCGATAATATAAAATAAAATATTTTTATTGTGTTTCATCATCTTCTTGACCCCTCATATTGTCCACAATTTAGCCGGTCTCAATATTTCTCTTCATAACACATCCATGGATTGATCAAAGGTCATACATTGTAATTGTTTATAAGTTATCGACCAAAACGTAAAACTACATTACAAAACAAATTGAATGACTAGGGGGAAGATCAAAGCCTTTAATTCCACTGAAACAGTGAAAATGTTACACATTTGCTATGTGTATTAAGATTTTTCTTCCCATCTGCAGTAGAATGAATTTATGTTCATAAACTCTGTGTTAAAACCTACCATAATCGTTTAGATTCTTCAAATATTATAGACGTGAAGATAACACTGTATAACATGCACCTGTGATGCAGTTTTATTCAATCTATCATTCTACAGCTCACGACATGGGTTGAAGTTCCTTGTAGGTCTCAAAGTGAATGTTCTTATTCCTTACTGACAGATTATAGTTTCTGTTTATGACAGTTGGTGTCTCCGTATCGGTTGCGATAATATTCATTGGTTGCACTGATCAGATCTTTATTGCCGAAGAGCTGTGGTTTACCAACGTTTGAACATGGGTACTGGTAGAAGTATTGAACGAGCTAAAGCTCTTGCAGGTACGGGTAAATCCAGTTGTATCATTATACTGCGTTTGGAAACTAGGATTGATCGACTGCAATTCGAAGTAAAGGAGATGAAAATAAGTATCTGTTGAATAGTTTGCAAGAGTTTACTGCTCCCATCCATAATCCGTGCTCACAAATTTTTTGGCAAACGAATGCTTTTCTACTTTACCGAGCTGTCCAGCTAGGATCTCCACTTCGATCGACCAAATCTTCTCAAAAAGTCCTGACGCGCATCATCCCATCTCCTCGAGAACTCATAGACGTTTTTGAAGGTTATTTATCCCTTGGGATGAAAACTGCATATTGCCATAAATTAATTTTAAGCTACTTTCGATTGGATAGTAATATGCTACACATCAAGCTGTTCTCATTAGGTGGTAATGACGACAGATCAACCTTGCAGAAGAGATAAACGATCTTGTGATGGAGGTTGAATTACAACCTCTCTTCAGAAGCTCATTTTGGTTTAATATATCTGTCGAACTGTTGGTGTACAACAAACAATCCAGTGCTTCATCGAGGACATCTTATTCTAAAGTCAGAGCAAATGCTAGTACCACTGTTTGTATCGAGCTGGAGTACTTCAGTACTTGCTCAAATTTACTATCATCACACCTGAACGCTTGCCGAAGATAAGGAGTACACGATGAATGGAGAATTTGAAAGTTTCTCCTCCCCGACTTCAGCTCCAAATATAGTCTTATGCACAGTCTACGTTCAATATCAGGGTGTTAATACTGCATTCTACATCTGATTGGGATCAAAGCTCGTCCTTGGCACTGCCTTCAGAAGCATCTATGATCCTCACATTCGAGCAAGAGTCGACGGGAGCGATGCCCACACGCTCGTTAGCCACATCGTACAGGAAGTAATGGTTCTGTTGCTGAATGTTGCCGATGATGGTGAAGTCGCTGGTTCCAGCCAAGGCCAAGCAAGTGGTCCCTTGATCATCGATCTGCAAGAACAAATTATTCGCAGGAAGGACAAGATCCACACCCTGGAACTGGAAAGTGACTGAGGGGAAAGTCGGGCTCGCGACCCCTGACAGATCGTAGCAGAGGTCGAGCCCAATCTGGGAGCTGTCAATCTGAGAGTACTGAATAAGCGACTGCAGCTTCGTCAGAAGAGGAATGTAGGCCGACTGGATGAGCTGCGTGATGGTGGTCCCCGAGTCCAAAATCACTCCTCCTTGGCCCGTCAAAACATTGAGCGTGAAATCGCTAGACCGAATTCCCGATACCGGCCTATTGTTCACCAAAATCCCGTTCAGTTTCACATAGTAGAATGTATCGGCCGCTGGGTTACGGATCAGAGGAGTGTATTTGATCATTGCATTTAGACTGTTGCCGGTGGACTCTGCAGCATCTCCGAGAATCAGGGGGCTCGTCTCCGTGGCCGAGCTGAAAGCATCGACCAGGCAATAAGAAAATTTCGAGCCGATGAGGGATCCGATCTGCTCGTTGAAGGAGATGGCACCGCGTCCCAGACCAACCAGTCCATCGGTGCCGGAGAAGGTGCCCTGGTTGCGCTTCCCGCAGCCGAATGCGAAGTTGGGGACGGTCTGAGTGGAGCCATCTGTGGCGCTGAGTGTCAGAGTGTCGAGGGCGAAGTCTCCCTGCGTGGTGGACTGATCCCCATAGCCGTAGCGGTACGTGCAGTAGCCCCAGTTGTAGGACACTTGAGGCAGCTCGCCGCAGAGCGAGCTGAAGTATCGGATTTTCTTATAGGTCGAGGACTGCCGAGGGTCGAAGAGTGGATCGGGCTGCTGGTAGCACACGGAGCACGGAGCGCACTGCAGCCAGACGAGGTCGCTGCCCGTGTCTGCGATGGCGGTCCTCGTCTGCGGGGGCGTTCCTATTGAAATGCTCATGATGTAGCCCCCCGGCGCTGCAGAGACGGGCGACTGGAAGCTGGTGGCTTTTGTGGACAGCTCGATCGTCGAGTCGAAGTTGAGTCCTCTGGGAGTCACTCCGGCCCCCACAATGCTTTTGAAAGCTGAAGCTCGGGCTTGACTCCTCTTCACAGCGCTGTGAATTCTCTCGGCGAATGTAGTGTGGGCATCGTGCAGTGGAGAGTCTACATGATGGTCTAGATGCTTGAGATCTAAGGAGATGATTTTATCGTTTTCACAAGCTGAAAGGTTTGCAAATGCGATTTGCACTACTGCTACTAGCAGGAAAATATTCAAGCGGCGGGGAGCGGCCATTTTACTCGAGCTCACGTCCAAAAAGATGGATGTTTGTGAGGCAGAGGCGTGAGGACGGTGAGAGGAGAAGATGGCTTGATGACTTGGTAGATGTTTGAGAGCTTTATACAAATCAGAAAGCTCGGGACACTAGTATCTCATGACGCTTGAATGACATGCATGACTCAGAGCCCACCCAAGCCGTCGTGTAGACCTGGCGGAGTGAGACCTGTCTACATGACCGACCATTTCTATCTCGTCCAACATCTGATCTGGACCTTGAGGGAAAAGTCATATTTGCAGACATCTCCTCACTGTGTATGCAGTGTGATCACGCTTTACTTGCCCCAAGCCTAAGCTGAGCTTGTCTTCATTCCTGCAACATGGAGGTGTTATCAACATGCGTTTGCAGCAGCAGCTGCTACAACATGCATGGTTAAGCGGACATTCATTGATTTCACCGAGATCAATAATCTATTTCTCTTCCAATTGTTACGAACATTTTAATGATGCTTCGTGTGGCACTTAAGGCGTACTTCTCAAGATTGTGTTTAAAATGGGAAATAGTTCGTGATGCTGATCATGGTTACCTAGCAGGCTGGCGGCCTGCCATGTACACGCTCGGTTGGAAATCCACATATCAAACTTTATCAAATTACATCAAATGAACGCGGAAGCTGGTGTGAAGTCTTATCCAACACTGCGTCTCGGTCCATGGTTTGCATCAGGTAGATGAACCTATTAATCTAATATTTCCAGCCCAGAATATACGAACACCCGAGCACTTTGAGTTCTATGAGATCCAACTGTAGCAACAAAAATATCGGTTTCAACAATTTTTGGTGAAGGCCGCTTCGTTGCTTTCATCTTCCGCCTAGCTTTTCAATGCTCAGAACTCGTAGGCTTCGTAGAATTATCCATGTTGGTCTTTTTGTTTAGAGTTACAAATGGTCTCTTTTGCAAAAGTGAGCTTTTAGCGTTTTTTTTAAGATTTTGAAAACATGCAGTCAATTTGTATTTTTTGAGCTTAAAAGTCAAGCCCAGCTTACGCTTGGGGCAAGTAAAGCGTGATCACGCTTATACACAATGATGTGATGTCCGCAAATATGAAGTCTCCCTCAAGATCCGGATCGGATGTTGGACGAAATAGTAGTAGAGGCCATGCAAGCAGGCCACACTCCGCGAGGTCGAAACGATTGCTTGGGTGAGCTCTAGCACATGCACGTCATTGAAGCGTCATGAGAAACCAGTGCACCGAGCTTTGTGAGATGTATAAAGCTCTGAAACTTCTTCCAACTTATCAAGCCATCTCCTCCTCTCACCATCCTCACGCACCTACCGTCCAATATCCATCTTTTTGGGACTAAGGTCGAGGAAAATGGCCGCTCTCCGCCTCTTGAAGGCCTTCCTGCTGGTAGCAGTAGTGCAAATCGCATTGGCCCATCTTTCATCTTGTGAAAACGATAAAATCATCTCTGTAGATCTCAAGCATCTAGACCATCATGTAGACTCTCCAAGGCACGACGCCCACACTACATTCGCCGAGAGAATTCACAGCGCTGTGAAGAGGAGTCAAGCCCGAGCTTCAGCTTTCAAAAGCATTGTGGCGGCCGGAGTGACTCCCAGAGGACTCAACTTCGACTCGACCATCGAGCTGTCCACAAAAGCCACCAGCTTCCAGTCGCCCGTCTCTGCAGCGCCGGGGGGCTACATCATGAGCATTTCAATAGGAACGCCCCCGCAGACGAGGACCGCCATCGCAGACACGGGTAGCGACCTCGTCTGGCTGCAGTGCGCTCCGTGCTCCGTGTGCTACCAGCAGCCCGATCCACTCTTCGACCCTCGGCAGTCCTCGACCTATAAGAAAATCCGATACTTCAGCTCGCTCTGCGGCGAGCTGCCTCAAGTGTCCTACAACTGGGGCTACTGCACGTACCGCTACGGCTATGGGGATCAGTCCACCACGCAGGGAGACTTCGCCCTCGACACTCTGACACTCACCGCCACAGATGGCTCCACTCAGACCGTCCCCAACTTCGCATTCGGCTGCGGGAAGCGCAACCAGGGCACCTTCTCCGGCACCGATGGACTGGTGGGTCTGGGACGCGGTGCCATCTCCTTCAACGAGCAGATCGGATCCCTCATCGGCTCGAAGTTTTCTTATTGCCTGGTCGACGCCTTCAGCTCAGCCACGGAGACGAGCCCGTTGCTTCTCGGAGATGCTGCAGAGTCCACCGGCAACAGTCTGAAGGCCAAGATCAAATACACTCCTCTGATCCGCAACCCGGCAGCCGATACCTTCTACTATGTGAAGCTGAATGGGATTCTGGTGAACAATAAGCCGGTGTCGGGAATTCAGTCCAGCGTCTTCACGCTCAATGTTTTGACGGGCCAGGGAGGAGTGATTTTGGACTCGGGGACCACCATCACGCAGCTCATCCAGTCGGCCTACATTCCTCTTCTGACGAAGCTACAGTCGCTCATTCGGTACACTCAAATTGACAGCTCTCAGATTGGGCTCGACCTCTGCTACGATCTGTCAGGGGTCGCGAGACCGACTTTCCCCTCCGTCACGTTCCAGTTCCAGGGTGTGGATCTTGTCCTTCCTGCGAATAATCTGTTCTTGCAGGTCGATGATCAGGGGACCACTTGCTTGGCCTTGGCTGGAACCAGCGACTTCACCATCATCGGCAACATTCAGCAGCAGAATCATTACTTCCTGTACGATGTGGCTAACGAGCGTGTGGGCATCGCTCCAGTTGACTCGTGCTCGACTTTGAAGAGCAGAGGTGCCTCTGCAGGCAGTGCCAAGGAGGAACTCTGATCGGAATCGGAAGTAGATTGCAGAAGTAGCGGATCCTACCACGTTGCGAGTGAACATGGACTGGGGAGAATAAAAGTATCTTCTGACTGATGTCGGGTAGGAAAAACATTCCAATTCACCAATCATCGATTACTTCTTATCTTCGGCATGGGTTAAGATGAGACAGTTATAATTTTGAACTAGTACTAAAGTAGTCCAGCACGATATGAAGAGTAGTACTAGCACTTTCTTGGAAGATAGATTCGGAAGTCTGGGATGAAGCACTGAATTGTTGTTGTGCGTCAGCACTTATAAAGATTTTATGAAAGGATCTTCTGATGAGAGGTTGGAATTCAACCTCCATCATAAGTTGATTTACCTCTTCTCCAAGGTTGTCATTTGCGCGCTTGTATGTTAACTTCTATAAAATCCTGTGTAAACTTCACAGTCCAGAGGAGATGGGATGCTGCGCGTCCCGAATTTGTTAAGGGAATTTACTGATTAATGTCGAAATCTCATGCTGGGCAACTCAGCGGAGGAGAAAAGCATTGGGCTGCTTACAATGCTTGGAAAATCAGATTATGGATTGGAGTAGTTAGCGCTTGCAAGCTCTTCACTACAGACCAATCTTCATCTCCTTGGGTCTCGACTTGCACTCGATCAGTCGTATTCTTCAAAACAATTTGGCTAATACAAGTCGAATGACCCGCACCCGTAACAGCTTTAGCCCATCCAGCACTTCTTCTAGAACCCGTGTTCAAATGTTGGTACCCATGACGTCTTGGGGGAACTATTGAAGTTTCTCTCTCACTAAAATCAGTTTCTCTCAACTATTGAAGAATGATTAAGCCAATGCCGAGACACCGAATGGTATAACCAGAAATAAAAAATCTGTTACCCAAAGATTATAAGAAATAATTTCACTTCATCCCATGTCATGATCTGTTGAATGGGATGTGAACAAATGTCTCATCAAATATTTATAGCACGATAGTGTTATAAATATTATCTTATTGTCTATGATTTGTTACGAACCGAAAATGTTAGATAAGAAACAGGATCTACAGAATTTATGACAAACATATCATTGTGCTGCAGAGGCAAAGTGAAAAATAATCTACTCGAGCAAACTTTGGACGCTATGGTAATTGACGAGAAAGACAGATGTTTCCCCAGTTATTCAATTAGTTTTGTAATGTTATTTTAGATTTTCAACACATTATTAAAAAAAATTTATTAATGTCGTATTGATACACGCTTTAACTCATTTGATTTAGCTTTGTGTGACTTGACGAAGCTAAATGAAAGATTTGTCAATAATGTTAAATCTTACTTACATATACCTAAGATTGCAACCACCTCGGTTAGTTCATTGCCTAATACTAATGGGGATATGGTATGAAATAACTAATATCCTTGCTTTTTACAAAAATCACAAATTTTTTAATGCATATTTTCAGGTCATTAGGAATCAATATATAAAATTTTGCTCATGCTTTACTATTGTTATGCTCTACACAACAACATCATCAATGTAGGCTCACACATAGTCAAGACTTGATACAATACTAATCTGTGTTCTTTGAAAATCAACTGCAATATTTCATTATCATAAGTGAACACAACTTTGACACATAATATATATCATTGCCATGCATATCAATTTTCTAATAAAACTATCTCGATCTTATCCTCATATTTAATCCTTCGCTTATCATATCTTCATCATAAGTCCAATGTATTGAAAACTTTGGCAAGCCTACTATACATTGTTATATTAATATGACCGAAGAAAACTTCATGCATTAGTCTTCAAGTCCATCCGTATACTACTTATCTTCAAACAGCCTTAATTCTTTGTATGAAAAGCACAATAGTTTATAGAACTCCTTAGAGATCTCCACACCTTCTGTCTTTCTTGCCGTATGACTTTAAGATCAATCTCGATATCTCAAATGTTATCTTCATTGACACGAAATACAAAAGACGTAATACCTGATTGATAATGTTTTGAGCAAAGAGCTATTTTGAGTTCTCATCAGATATGACGGAACCGGATCTACGATTGGCTGCGTGTGGTGCTCATAACGTGGTGCGAAAGTCGATATGACAATAGGATATTATTAGACTTTCGAATGGTAGCAAACTGCTGGTGATACACAATGTTCGTCACGCATATCACTTCCCACCACGGACAGCGAGCGTTCTGTCGGGAAAAAAATTCTGTCCCCAATTCTGACCCCAGTTCGCTGTATGCTTAACCTCAGAATGCCGAGATACGAGAACAGCCTGGTGTATATCGATAGGGTTATTTTTATCTTTGAAAAAGTTGTAGGGTATATTTTTTGGATTCAGATAGCAACCATAGTCTCCTCGTGAAGATCACGAGGACTGCGCCATAATCATTATTGCCTCTTCTTCTTCATCCCTCTCCTTTCTGAGGACTCCAGTCAGCTCGGTTGGAGGCTCCTGCCCACTTTGCATCTGGATCTCTACTTGATTGTAAAGCCACCTTCTGGACTTTGCAGCACGTATTATATTCTTATCGACAATCACGAGTTATGTCACACTCCAGGCGTCCATCCTCCGCTTATCGTGAGGGCCAGAATGTCCAACCCCACACACACACTGTTGCCCACTCGTGCAAAGCGTTCAAAAAATTCTCTACAGAACTTTCAATCTGCTGAGAAATCCACGAAGAACGCCAAATTTTCAAGCTCTTTCGATAGACCTCACAATAATTGCACTGGAAGAAACTAAGGTGAATATAATAAAGAATGCAGATGCAGGACTGAATTGAGCATTTTTTCAGGCCCAGACTCCTTCACCCTGTCACGGTTATTTGATGCCCACAATTCAAGCGCCTTAGAAGCGTTCCAATCTCAATACATAATCGACACAGCTTCCTCTTTCCAGCAGTTCATGTCTTCCTGCTCCTGAAAGCCCACAATCCTCAATCTTGTCATAGCCGACTTGGGACTGGAGTTTGGGAAACATGGCCACTCTCCGCTACTTGGGTGTCTTGGTGGTCGTAGCAGCAGCAGCAATGGTGCTGTCAGCAAGCCCATCGTTGTCAGAAAATTTAAATAGTGTTTTTGCTAGCATGAAGCATCTGGACCATCATCCCGATTCTCCACTGCACCAAGCCGAGTCCACCTTCGCCGAGAGGATTCTCAACGCTGTGAAGAGGAGCAAAGCTCGAGCTGCAGGGCTGCAGAATATCGTGGCCAGCGGAATCACACCACGAGGTATAAAATTCGATTCGACCGCGCCCACGACGAGCAAGGGTGTCAGCTTTGAGTCACCCGTCACATCATCCCCAGGAAGTTACATCATGACCATTTCTCTGGGAACCCCCCCGCAGACGAAGACCGCCATCGTCGATACAGGAAGTGACCTCGTCTGGTTGCAGTGCGCCCCTTGCTCGTCTTGCTATCAGCAGCCCGACCCGGTTTTCGACCCCAGCAAATCCTCCTCCTACCACAAAATTCGCTACTTCAGTAATTTGTGCGGCGAGCTTCCTTACATATCCTGGAACTGGGGTTACTGCTATTACCTCTATGCTTATGGCGATCAGTCGACCACCCAGGGAGACTTGGCTCAAGAAACCCTGACCCTCACTGCAACCGATGGCTCCACTCAGAGCTTTCCGAATTTCGCCTTCGGCTGCGGACGACGCAATCAGGGCACATTTGTTGGCACCGATGGCCTCGTGGGACTGGGACGTGGCGCCCTCTCGTTCCCGGAGCAGATCGGGGCTCTGATCAGAGCCAAATTCTCCTACTGCCTCGTGGACGCGGTGAGCTCTGCCACCGAGTCGAGCCCGCTGATTTTCGGAGACGATGCCTCGGTGGTAGCCAATGGCTTGAATTTGCAGTACACTCCTCTGGTCCGCAATCCTGCAGTGGACACCTTCTACTACGTGAAACTCAACGGGATCGCAGTCAACAATCAGCCACTGGCAGGCATTGCGCCCGGCGCTTTCGCCCTCGACATTTATACGGGTAGAGGAGGCGTGATTCTCGACTCCGGTACCACCATCACTCAGCTCGTCGACTCTGCTTATATTCCGTTCGCCAGCACGCTGCAGTCGCTCATCAATTACCCTCAAATCGATGGCTCGCCGATCGGGCTCGACCTCTGCTACAATTTGTCCAGTGTCAGCAATCCGACTTTCCCATCCGTCACTCTCCAGTTCCAGGGCGTCGATCTCACTCTCCCTGCTAACAACCTCTTCCTGCAAGTGGACGACCAGGGGACGAGCTGCTTGGCGTTTCTGGGCACCAGCGATCTGACCATCATCGGAAACATTCAGCAGCAGAACTTCTACATTTCGTACGACGTTGCGAATGAGCGCGTGGGATTTGCTCCGGTTGACTCTTGTGCTAATCTCAGCTCCGCTTCCTCTGCCACTGCCCCGACGGCAGCACCTGTCACTGCCGCCAAGGACGAGTTCTGATAAGGAAGCTGCACGGCCTGCGCAGCTCCGGAGATAAAAAAACGTGGCTCTTATTGTCGACCACGGATCTTTAATCGGAGCAGAGGGATAAGCTCTCGAGCATGTACAGAACGTCACGTTCATGAAAAGATTGATAATCCGTAAGGTAGGTTCTAGTTGTAGAGAAACATTCGCTCGCTCGCTCCTCTGCGTGTGTCCGACAATGTCTTGACCAAATTTCTGTTTGAAGATAGTAGTATCTGATGCTAGAAGCTAGCTGGCCTCTGGAGCATGAACGAGCGATGCAAGTGTAAGATAGAGGCCGTACGGGGACGTGGAAAGCCCTCTTTCCGCGATTTCTCGCTGAGAACTTATCACAGGACGATAGAGTGAAACGAACTGAGAATCTGCAATAGCGACCTAAAATATGGAAATCTCTCTTCTAGTAAAGCTGGAAAATCAGCCAACTCGTATGCGGCATTCATTTGAATGGCTCGAAGAATGATCTGCCACAATAAAAGTTTGACCTTATGAGTTGCTCTTGATTTTCTATATGAACGGTCTTTGTTTGTCTCTTGCGTTTGGAGTCTGCCATGTTGCGGATTCATGGCGTCTTGGGTAACCCGCATTTTGGTTCTATCTGACGACGTAAGTCATCTGCTTATCACACGCTCACTTCTAGTATATCAACACATTTCGATTCAATCGAGGGATCTGCATTCCCTTTTTCCAGCGCTGCAATGAGATCTAGGAGCATAAATACTGCCGCTCTCGGTAACTATCATGAGCTTTCGGTAATATTTAGATGAATATTGACAGACCCATCCTCACTTAGCTCCCTACTGTCTTCTGACATAACTCAATAAACGCACACACTTGACCTGATCAGAAAATTCTCCTGATTCATGTTGTAAACAAATTCAGTCAAACATTTTCTCTCTTAAAGATTATTTTTATCTTTATCTTTATCTTCATCTGCTACCGTCTGTAGATGAAATATCATGAACAACCGCAACGTAGGACGAGGGTAAGAAATCACTGTTTGAGTTTAAGCTCTATGCATGCGGACATCACACGCAAAATCTTAGCTGAGGTTTACAATCAAGGTCAATCGATGTGTTAGGGCCTTTGTTCTCACACATGGTATTAGTCTTCAATCAAATGTAAACTATACACTTGCTACGATAGTATCACCCGTGCCTAAGCAGCGGCATCCGTGCACCTTTCCAGAAGCTCAGTGCATGGAAATTACCCCTTGAACGTTACCTCAATGTTAACCTCCTAAGATTGGATTATCTTGCCTGGATGCTAGGGGCATATGATTCTCAAATCTTAGTTGCGACATTATTTTACAAATCTAGTCTCGATTGATAAATGGAACATGAGATGCATCTCACATGAAACATGTATCCTTCTATAGCTTACAAGCAAATTATTGAGCAACATGGTGAAGGTTAACTTCAAAGGGAGATTTATGTCGTCAACGGCTAGATGGAAGCACTTTTGGACTGCGGGGTGAAGTTATTCAAACTTTTGTGATGTTGCTCTGATCCTTGCCTGCTGGTGTTTATATAGATATCTCTTTGTTCTAATCCTAGTGATTCTCTAACCAAAAATCCTGGACAAGCTCATGATTGAGGTACGATGTTGCTTAGAACATGGCACGTAATTATAACTCAAGATGTTAAATAGTTCCTGGCTCAGCTCGGCGGCAAGAAATTGACTCATGACTTATTTCCGGGCTCTCTTTGCGGCCGGACTGCCAGCCTTATTTCCACATCAGCACTCAAATCTTCTACCGCAACAGCAATTGTATTCAGAAGAATGAGCAACTTGGGCAACCTGTGAAAGACTCCATGCATTTCATGTTGTCTAATGTAGTAGAAGATACGTCATAGCTTTGTAATAATATGACCGTTTTTTAAGACATCAAAGACAACTCCTCAGAGACCTTAAAATAATGCGACCCAGTCAACCTTGGAATACTGGCATGGATATGTGAGGAGCAACTGAAGAGTGGAGGTCACTCAACCTGTGAGGAGAAAATTACTGTATACATATTCGCAACACAGATCATGCTATCCGTATATAATCTACGATTTACTACCACTTACAGATTTGGATACATATATGTTGATCAGAGATCTTTCATTTGATAGTTCATTAACGACCTAGCCTCGAACGCATTCTGGGCTATTTTGAAAACTAACCTGAGCCTCATTAGAAGTCACGATTGTCCTTGTCTCTCTCGAACATTATCGTCTTATGCACTAAACATGCACGAACTTATAAAGATGTGGTATAGAGGACTTTTTCAAGACTCCTGTGGAGTTTTATAAATCTATCAACTAACTGTTGAAGTCACGCACTGATTTTTCATTGTAAATCCAGATATGGTGGAGATTTGCAGATGAAGAGGTAACCATGGATCTCAGGAAGTTTTCTAGCCTTACTCTCTCGATAATTCTACGTCTTCCGTTCCGTACTCTCTTTGAAGACTGGCCTCTACAGTCAAGCCATTGCGTCTGCTAGGTCTACTTCATATTTTCCTGTCTGCTTGTATCGGGCCCTGCTAGCTTTACTGATGTAATCTGCAGTCTCAATATAGGCTATGTCTGAGTGTTCAAAGTGTGGAAGATCGAGCAACTTTCTTCTGAATCTTAACAATCACTACAAGAACTACGTCAACAACCCTGAATCTTTGGATAGAATTCACCAACCCTACTATGTCCATAAATGTTGATTACTACAACTATTATTATCCTACACAGAAATCTCATCTCGCTCACAGCCAGCCCGAGGCTCATCAAAGCTCGCACTTGGAGCTGAATGGATGTGCTGTTGCGATGGTAGCACTCGAGTAACCAGTCTTTGATGGGAAGCTGATTCAGACAGAAGTGTGCTGTGAATTGTATCTAGAGATGTAGATACTGCAAGTAAGAGCCCGCGAGCACGGTCAACACTGCATTCACGTCGGGGTCGGGAACCTGGTAGGATGCAACTACTTCTTTGGGAATGATCGATTATAACTTGTGTACACGGAAGATTGCCTTCTTTGTCTACTTCGTCGTCAACCCTCCGTCGAGTCGTTACGCTTCCAACAAGTTCCTGCCGGGAAGGTAATAGTCACAATCTGTTCTTCCAAAGGGCAATTCTCTTGTACGAGAAAGCTCATGTCAGCAAATTGGACTTCCTACAAACTTCCTGGAACTCTGCTTCACGTAACAACTGCCAAGATAAGACAGGGTGGAAACAGAGCGTAAGGTGTCCTTGCGACCAATGTCCACACAATCACTTGTGGTGATTTTGGACGTAGAGGTATGAATTCACGAAGCTGCAGTGAGGTCAAAGTTCTCAGAATACATCATTCTATTCTTGAAATATAATCCTTGCCACGTGAAGCGAAGAACTAAGTCTTTGCTGTCCATGTTTCCCACTCTAATCAATCTTTTTTCATGGCGTTATCTTTATTCATTCGTTTGATTCTCCATCAAAAAGTATATTTGGTTTTTAACCATACCCTACTGAACTTTGAACTTTGAACTTCAACTCAGAAGGCCGCTTGCAGTTGAGTCATATGTTCAATGAACGTTCCGATAAGGACCCATTCTTTCCTATACTTTTTAACTTAATCCAAAGACTGATACATAAATCATCTCCGATACTTCCAAATATCAGTTTTTTTACCGGTATCAATACTCCAGTAGGAGAGTCCCACATATGGCTAAATATGATCAAACGGGTGTTAATTGTGTTACTATGAAAGAAATTTCACAAAAACCTTGGACCTTGTTGGAAATAGATCCTGTAAAATTTTACACGATCTACACGTGTCCAACAAGTACTAACCCATCGGAATACACTCTACGTAAGAAACTTGGGGAAAAAACATTTGTTTCTGTCTTCGTACCTGAGACTTTCCTTGGTTCTATCTTTAAGAAATCTCAACCTTTATACCTTCACCAACCATTAACACAGTAAGGTGAAACACTCTTTCCATTTTATAACCCTGTTCATCCATGATGAACAGGGTTATAAAATCTTAGATGAAAGGTGCATCATAAATGTTAATGCGTCATGAAAGATCCCCACATGAAAGAATTCGACCTACATCCAAACCTAAGATCATTTGCGCACAATCATAACAAACAAATCTGGACCTTCACACGTCCTACAGCCAGTAAGGATCACCGACAATGCTTTGGGTTGATAAATCTTAACATTGTCAGGTTCTTTGATCTTCATATAACATTTTCGAGATCATTTGGGACAATCGAATTGGATATCGCATGAGGCTGAAGATTTACTTCATATATTCATATCAAAAAACAAGGTTGCAAACACTGCTCCACTCATGTAAATTTGGAAACGTCATTGGCGTTTTGTTTTGCTTTATTAAAACTGTGGTAGAGTAGAGTTTTCTCACCCAGTATTCCGGACCTACCAACTACTCATATGCTATGGAGAAGAGAAGACATTTTGACATTTCAACAACTTCTGTTGTTGAAAGCAAACCGAATTTAAAATACAATACATTCTCTGGTATTCTAGGTTGTATTCTATTTCTATTTTTTCGACAAACCTAAAAAATTGCACACCCTTGTCTTCGAAATATTGAGCTAATATTTCGAGTCAATAAACGAGCCAGCTCCAAAAGAGAGACTAGGCATTGTGAGGCTATTCTTCTACACAGAAGCGTCTCGCTGAAGTCTGCAACCTTGAAACCGCAATTATCGTGTCGTAAGCTTTCATGGAATCAATAGCTGGGTCAAACACTGCAATTGTAAAAAAAAAATTACTCAATAAGCAGAAATGAAAAACAGCAGAAATGCAGATACGGAAAACATATCATTGTCACAGTCACTGTTCCAACTTTTTTCTAATAATCAGCATCTTGTTTGTGTCTGATTCTTACCTTGACACTTTTTGATCCCCAAGTTGGATCCGAATACCTGAAAAGAGGCAGGAAATAATCATCAGTGCATTGCAAGTACTAATGGAGAAAAGTAAAATGTCTGATTATCGGATTAGGAAAAGGTGTAAGAGTATCTACCTTTGATCATAGATGAAAGAAACTTGATGCTGACAAATCACATGGGTGAATCCTAAAAGCAAAATGAAATCTCTACTCCAGCATCCATCTATCTGCATACCCAGCAACAAGCTTGTTGCTTTCTTAAATCAGAGCACAGCAGTAAAGTCTCCTGGCTATCACAGTTCTGCACATCACACGATAAGGATTAGTACAAAGACATTAGCTCAAAAATCACAAGAAACTTACGCAGAATGACTCTTCAATGACAACTAATTAATATTGAGATCGAGAGAGAGGAGAGGCCATTACCGAATCGTACTTCTCCACTCGCCCCATGCAAAACATTCGCCGCCGTCTAGCGTTCGCTCCTCAAGCATCCGCTCCGAGAAACGTAAACTCAACGTGATACACAATCACGTACGCAGTATTGTCCTCGATGTGATAATGGAAAAAAAGAAGAGAGAAAATCCGCTCGGAGAAACGTAAACTGAACGCAATCCACAATCCGCAGTCTCGTCCTCGATGCAAATATGGAACAAAGGAAGAGAGAAAATTCGCTCGGAGAAACGTAAACTGAACGCAATCCACAATCCGCAGTCTCGTCCTCGATGTGAAATTGGAAGAAAGGAAAAAAGGGCGGAGCAATTTTGTAGCTGCGCTGTAGCCGTGCGTGCACAATAACGAGGATGTAACGGCAGCGGGCTTGGAGCTGTTCGGGAAAAGTTACAAGCTTTGGAATTCAAAATCCAAGAGAGGAGAAAATGAAGAATATTTTCTGTAAGAAGATTTGTTTTAATTATGAGCCACCAAAGTAAGAACACATTCTGGTCTGGACAAGTGAGGTACAGCTAATGCATTCACATGCTATAAGCTGCTATGCCATGAACAATGGCATAGCAGCTTATAGCAGGTTAGAGTTGTGTGGAATAATCTGACACGGCGGCCAATGTTTATGGCCGCCGTAGAAGATTTTTCTAATTCTCCTTCCCCTATACAAAGTGGTAGACTGGGAAACTTCAATTTCGTTCGGGTCATCACCTAAGCCACGTCTGATCCGGCATCAGCCCATGAGCTAAATATATCTTCACTTGGTTTCTACAACAAGGAATGCTTAGTGATATCTTTCAGTATATGTGAGTGCATTCAGTGAAACGGAAAGCCCTTCCTCCGAACAAGCTTCTCCAAGAAGAAGGGACTGGACTCGTCTTCGACAAGAAAGCATGAAAGATTGAGGTGATCTTCAAAGCTTTCTGTCCTCGTTTTCAGAATTATCTGCAGTCTCAGAAGGTTAGGTTGGCTCGGCGAACACAATTGAGAATGTTTCAGCCTGAATTCAACAAATATATTCCGCCTATGTAGACTGAAGAAGGTTATTTGAGAAGAAACGATTGGCTCTGCATCCAAACTGCGGCCGAAAATACAGTACAGAATGATTGGGCCTGAATCATCCAAACGGAAACTTACCCTGCGGGTATCTACATCAACCAGGACGATGTTCTTACTCCCCGAATGCTCTAAACTAAGCTAGTATAGTCGTCAAGAGAGGTTGACAAAAGACTCCTGACCACTGGTCAAGAGTCTTTTGTCTTTAGACTTCAACCTGGACGTCAAATCAGGTTCATGGGCTGGTCACTTTGTCATAGACTGAAGAAAGCAGAGAACATTGGTATAGATTTAGTTGGAGACCCCCACCCACTGGGGTTCCATGACTCCCGGCCGGCGAGACTCCGTGAGGATTTGCAGAAGCCGTTTGGCAAGTTGACCCTGAAAGTCCCGCTCTACACTGATCGTCCAACATCTGTCCGAGTACTGCAGCAATCATTGTCAAGCAAACTTTGTGATGTTTATTAAAGTTTCCATCTAAGACGCATGCTCTACAACTGTCACACTCCTTGTTTATGGGCGAACTCATTCATCAATTCTTGTCTTTCTGCGCATACACAGATAACCTCATTGCTGGTAATTTCTTGCATGCATCATTCACGACCCAGCAGGATCTCGCTGGTTTCGGTAGGAAGTAAACAGGCTAGAACCGCTAAACCTGGAAATCATGCACCTCTTGTCTTTAATTGATGGATGTGCTACATTGAACTCTATGGGGTCTGAAGTTCCCGAGGAAAGACATATGAAATTCAAAACTGCTGAGCTCGTGATGCAAGTGAGTCGCTTGATCTCCGGGCACGCAAACCTTGAGAGACACTTTCATACATGGGCTCATGAACATTTTTATCCTTCGAAAATGTCAATGACAAAGAAAAGAAGTAAGCTTATTCAAACTGGAGGAAAACCGCAAGGCATGTAATACCAAGAACACAGAAAGAAGAGAAATGTATTTTTGTTTAGGAGTTACGAAACAATATTTTTCTTTCAAATTCCTATATCAAAATCGAGATTTTGATTTTTCTTGAGATGGAATCAATTGCATTGGTTCACGATGCTCGGCTCAGGTAGAAAGATAAAATTAGATAGATAAAGAATGCCTTAAGAAATTCCCTGCTGAAAGCTGCGATCAAAGACTGTAAAGCAGATTAACTGTCCAGAATATTTCTTGGAGCTGTTGAACCCTTGTTTTTTCTGTCATGTACATTAATATGAAATGAGGATGTCACCCATTATTCCACATATTCTACTCCCGAAAATGCTCCCTATATTGAGACTTGATTTTGAGTCTCATATATTAAAACTAAAACTTGATTGATAGATAAATATACATAAATAAATAAATATATATATATATATAAGATTCGGACCAGCCTTCAGCTGTGGTTCTTAAGCTTTGGTTGCCTTCATCCTCTTCGATTTACCTCTCATAAGGACACCTTCTAGCGCGTGCTTCTGCAACTGGGAATGTGGACAGTAGTTTACTTTTTTACAATAACCTCAATTTTAGCTTGCTTCAAGACTGCAATCTCTTCCTAGTTTCCAATTGGGCAAGGTGGCGCGCTCACGTTATTCGACCATTGTCTCCAAGTTGTGTTCTCGAGAGCTTTCACATTTAGCAGACACTTTTCATACTTCTTGACTGGTCTTCCTACTGAGATTTTATCTAACACAGAACTGATACAGGCACTGGAAGCTAATTCTCCATCCCTTCAGAATAGTTTGTCAAATCGGGCCAATCTCATACGCACACCAGATGGGATGTTTATGTAAACAGAGAACTATTTCTTCACAATAAAACTTAGCCACGGAAGTACTACTGAAGGCTGCAGCAAGAAACAGAATCCGTATCGCGTAAAAACATGTCGACCCTTGCCGAAATTTTCTCCTGATGCCTCTTCTCAGAGATTTAAAATCTCTGGTGTTCAGAGGAGATCAAACGTTTGAATCATCCTTGGCTTAATTGGTGTCTCTATTTAAACTAATTTCAGAAAGTTCCTCATTCTTTGTAACTTCACAGTCTCCATCAAACAGTAATGCCCAATTGGTGTTACGACTAATTGGGCACTGATTCGAATGGAACTCCAAGAAGTTCATTGTCTCTGGTTTCTGACGAAGTTCATGATTGACTGAATATCGTGTACATTTGATCATCAGGAGCTTTTAACGGTGGTATGAACCATTCATTTCGTATCGAATGACAGTAGTTGACACTTGTGTGCTGAAAGTTCCAATTTCCATAGATAATCGAAGTGATGATGGACATCCCCGAAAGACCGTAATGTACAACTTCTTGACCTCCTCGTAACCTCTCTACTTCTCTGCATCTCCTATTATAATTCGTTCGTACCTTAGCCCCTGGTTCCTGTACTGTCTAAAGTCTACGTTCCCGTTGATTCTATCCAGGCCTGTGAATGAATGAATGTCCAAACTGATCTCTTCCAGGTCTAGTACGACACAGAGAATGGAGCGATCTAGTATAAATTTTACAAGTAAACACATGTTACAGCTAAAGACAGTTGTACAAGTACTTCGGATGATCTGATGATTGTTCGCTGTAATTTTTACCTACGCGGCGAGCTACTGCAGTGGTGTACTTTTTACAGGTGATGACGATTTTACAGCTAACTGAACATAGTTGCACATGGACTTGGGAAGTGATGGCTATGCGAAAAAATTTCCAAACCTATGTACCTAAAAATGAACACATTTCTTCAAGGCACGACCGATGTCCACTATGTCTTACCTTCGAGGGAAAACGAGAGATTCCGATACTGCGTCACATGTCACTCTTGCTGCTGAGTCTGGGCACCGGTGTGGCTGTAGCCAGACGGGCACACGATTTCACGGGAGCAATTCCGACCCTCTCGTTAGCGATGTCGTACAAAATGTAGTGATTCTGCTGCTGGATGTTGCCAACGATGGTGAAATCGGTGGTACCGGCAAAGGCCAGGCAAGTGGTGCCCTGCTGATCCACTTCCAGAAAGACATTGTTGGCGGGAAGAACGAGGTCCACGCCCTGAAAGTGCAGAGTCACGGAAGGGAAGGAGGGGTTTCTCACGCCCGACAGATCATAGCAGAGGTCGAACCCAATCTGAGAGCTGTCGATTCGGGGATACTGAATGAGGTACTGCAGCGTCGTCAAGAAGGGGATGTATGCCGAGTGAATGAGCTGACTGATGGTCGTGCCCGAGTCCAGAATCACTCCTCCTCGTCCCGTGTGCACATTCAAATCGAAAACTCCCCAAGGAATGTCAGCCACGGGCCTGTTGTTCACGGTGATGCCGTTCAGCTTCACATAGTAGAAGGTATCGGCAGCAGGGTTGCGCAGCAGAGGAGTGTACTTGACTTGCAAGGCCGTGCCTGTCACCACGGCTTCGTCTCCGAAGATCAGAGGGCTCGTCTCGGTGGCGGAGCTCGAAACATCGACCAAGCAGTAAGAGAACTTGGAGCCGATCAGCGACCCCAGCTGCTCGTTCAAGGAGACGGCGCCACGCCCCAGCCCCACCAGCCCATCGACTCCAGAGAAGGTGCCCTGGTTCCTCCTCCCGCAGCCGAAAGCGAAATTGGGGAATGTCCTGTTGGAGCCATCGGTTGCGGTGAGAGTCAGCGTCTCCAGAGCGAGCTCGCCCTGAGTAGTCGACTGGTCGCCATAGCCGTATCTGTATGTGCAAATCCCGGAGCTGTACGAGACTTGAGGCAGCTGCCCGCACATGGGGCTGAAGTAGCGGATTCTCCTGTAAGTCGAGGATTTTCGAGGCTCAAAAACCGGATCAGCCTGCTGGTAGCAATCGGAGCACGGGGCGCACTGCAGCCAGACGAGGTCGCTGCCTGTATCGACGATGGCGGTCTTGGTCTGCGGGGGAGTGCCCAGAGAGATGGTCATGATGTAGCTTCCCGGGGATGCAGTCACAGGCGATTGGAAGCTGCTGCTGCTGCTGCTGGGGGCCGAAGGTTGGGTCCGCGAATCGAAGTTTACTCCTCGGGGTCGAATTCCGCTGGCGAGAATGTTTTTGAACCCGGCCGCTCGAATGCTACTCCTCATGACAGTGATGTGGAACCTTTCGGCAAAGGTGGAATGCGCATTGTGGAGCGGAGAGTCGGGGTGATGGTCCAGGTGCTTCATGTCCACGAACATGGTTTTGACAGTCAAATTGTATTTTTCTGAGAGCGATATCGACGCTTCTGCTAACAGCGCTATCGATGCTGCTATGGATGCTACGACGACCAGGTGGGAGAGCTGGAGAGCGGCCATTTTCCTCTTCGTCACGCTCAAGGCGGATTATAACTCGTGGATTCCGTAGATCGATGAGGACAAGAGGTCTCGATGGATGATGGACCCAAGAGCATTCCGACTATTATAGAGAGGCAGCGGCAGCTCGAGGACGACGCTCGGAAACTCGTGCAGCAGAGCTATAGCGCACCTGATCGAGCCCTCGTCTGGCCGAATGATCCCTCCTGGTCTGCCTCTCTTCTGCAATTGACGCAAATGCGTCCTGCATCGCGCGGCTTTTGAAGCCTTTCCGAGTAGCGCCGGCCACCATCGTCTGCCACATCAGGTACATCGTCAGCCATCACTCGATCTCACCTGACCGATTGACTCGATTTGGTTCCGATTGTGCTCGGTTCAAATTCGCTGCGTTGACCCGACCTGCACAGGGTGCCACCGGCGTCGGGCTCCTGGATTCCCAGAGTACTACTCCTCCTCCTCCTACTACCCTTTTGTTTCGCTTTCACGCCACTCGTGCATCGATGTCGAAGTGAAGTCCGATCCGTGGCTTTGATGGTGCGACGGACGCTAATTCTCGGGCGGACTTCCGGGCTCGGACAAGCGTTCCGCATAGCGCCAACCTCGTGACCCGATCCATGGTCTATCCGAGGCCGGCGCTTCTGCCCACTGCCATAATTCTATCTTCACATACAGTGCTCAAGGTCTCTGCTTCATTTGCTTCCCAGGAGGTTCTAGTGGATCAGAGTACTTTCAAAGCAAGAGTACTGATGAGGGCAGGCAGATCCCACTCCGACCGACAAGCTCGGACATTCCTCCCTTCTGGTACTGCCGGAGTCCAAATTCCGCTTCTAACTCATTGTTCTTATGTGATTCACACAGGCCCAGCTAAGCCCCACCATTACAAAACCGGTAATGGAAACCTTCTTTGCTTGCGGGAACATCAGTGCCCTGAGTCTCAAGCATGGCCCTATCGTTCAGGTCAGGTCACTTTACGATGAAATTGAGGTTGCGAAAAGTGTTGGATACCATTCTATTCATACATTTGATAGGTTGTGTTTGATTCAGATCCAGAGAGAGGTTATGTTACAATCATGACCATGGTCTTAAACTCCTATCTATGACAATACCGGCAAACATTTTTGTTAGTGCCAGACTCCTTTGCGAGACAATCTAATTTGCTCGGAGTCGGTTCAGCTAGACTATTGGAATCATGCCAACCAAATACTATCTCTCGAATTCTCTTGAAGATTAGAATCTAGGATTTAAATTTCCTATATTCAAAGTTTTTGCAAATATTCTGCAAAGTGTGGACTGAAAGACGTATGCTCCGTGGCTCAGTTGACGAGATTCTGAATTGGAAACTTGCAGGCGTTGGGTTGTGTCACGGTCTCCATGTCCTTCGAGCCATTCAAACCTCCGACGTGTGATCATCATCTCCTCCCCACCATGTGCGACAAGCCTAGTGTGCCCCAAAGAGTCTTCTTCTATGGTTCATTGTACTTGATGGCCTTAGGAGCGGGAGGAATCAAGGCATGTGTGACGGCATTCTCTGCAGACCAATTCGACGACACTGATCCTGGGCAGAACCATGAGAGGGTGTCGTTCATGAACTGGTGGTGGTTCAGTCTGAGCGTCGAGCGTATCATGGGCTCGGTGGCCTTCTTCCCTTGGGTGCAGGAACAGTATGGTTGGGTATAGGTCGGAGCAATTCCAGCCGGAATCGTTGGATTTGTAACTCTGAGTTTCATTATCGCTCATCCTCTGTACTACCATAAACCCCTCTGGAAGTGCTTTCACAAGAGTTCTCCAGATTCTGGTGGCTGATTTCGAGAAGAGAAACTTGGAACTGCAAGCTGATCTTCACGAGCTGTTTGACCTGAGCCCGTATCATTCAGAAGTTTCCATATGTGTTGATGCTTGACAGAGTTTGTTATTCAAAGTTCAGAAGAACTTCAATTGGATAATATATTGAATTTGAAGATATGTTGTATATCTAGATTTATAATATGCTAGATCCTTGTGCTAAACTCCTAGAACCGCCATCGATTGTCATTTCAAAATAGAATGTTATTGTTATTACATTATTCATTTTTGATTCAGATTTTAAGTGCTCGTGACAATGGTTTGGCTCATTAAGGACATCTAAAACAATTCATGGAAATTGTGATGAGATTGACAAAAATGATCCATAATTATTATCAACCATAGAAGAATTATACTCTATCATAGCTCAATATGACTCTCAAAACGTCTACAACATCAACGTGACTAGATTGTTCTTTCGTCTACTTCCCATATCTTCCATTCTGATGCCGATCGAGCACATGTCAAGCATTAGAGGTAAAAAGAAAGCAAAACATAATGTTTCTTTTATAGTTTGCGTCAATGCATATAGAACACATAAAGCTACTTGGGTAATGATTGGAAATTCAAAAAATTCAACGTGTAATAAAGATCCACCGTGGTTAGTTCTTTATTTCAATCAAACGAAGGCATGGATAGGCGTGAAAAATTGGATAATGATAATTAGTAATTTTTTCTTCTTGTTGTTCCAAGGTGGGTTGCTTCAGCCAGTTTAGCATGCATGCGCTTTCCACTTTGGAGTCAGATGACTTCACATGGATTTTAGTCACAATTGGATCATTTTGAACTCGCATTTGCACGACTAACCTTGTACATGGTTTTAGAGAAAAGTCGAACGTTTGTTTATTTTTACGTGTCTGCTGACAACAATCTTAGAGAGTTAGAATGCAGATAAACTCTTGAAGTGGGTTTCAATCCCAATCAGAACAAGGAAGGGGATGAAGGCTACAAATCTTGTGTGTCCGTTATATTTTTGCAGTAAGATTCTTGCATGCAGTATTTGAAATATGCATGCAAAATTTCTTCCAAAGAATGAATAGTTTCATTTACATCTTTTCTTTGTTTATCAGCATGTAATTCTAGAGTATTGGTTTAAACTCAAAAAAGCAACATGTATTAACTGAATGTGGCATCATCTTGAAAAATCCATACCCGTGTCTCATTTCAAAGTCAAAGTAAGGATAAAAGTATTATTATTTTAATAGCTTGTAATATGTTTTGTTCTAATATGCAATAGCAAATTCTTTTCCATGCAACGTCCAAATCAGGAGAAAACATAATGAGTCAATCGTCCTCAAATATTATGAGAATAAAAATATGAACACCATAACATGATTAATGGTAAATAAATCAAGCCTGTGGGACTCAAAGGGTCAAAAAGCTGAAAAACACAATACAGACATTCCAACTCCAACCTAGGAGAGAACCAAAAGAACCCCCTAGCTAGTGTGAATCGCACTAGAACAATAACAAATAACATCCCTAATGTAACAACCTAAATCATAAGGCTCAAGCTGAAGCAAAGAATAAAAATTCTCAACAACTTTAGGAGTTGTGAGTGTAACCATCTTTAGTTAGTTAGAACTAAAGTAGAGGTTACTCTGAATATTGATGTAGATACTTTAGTGTGCACTAGTCATAGCTGCCACGTCAGCGATCCGCGCACTTTGTAGGTACAGAGTGGATGTGTTAGTTGACAGTGCCACGTCAGCAATCCGTGTGCTTGTAGGTAAGGATTGAGTGTGTTAGTTAGTGTGTTAGTTGGGTGCGCCACGTCAGCGATCCGTGTGCTTGTTAGGGTTATCCGCCACGTCATCCATCCACTAGGAGTGGTATGGATGGTGGGGATTAGATCTTATCACCTTGTACTTGTTGGTGAGAGCTATATAAGGGAGAGGAGAACCATTGTTGGTATCTCTCATCTTCAGAGTTTACGTTTCTATCTTCGAGTGAACTTCTCTCTAAACCCTAGTGTTACAATGGTATCAGAGCGACCTTGCTCTTTCCTTGAGTGTGGATTACCCCTCATGGAATAGCAAGTGAGTGATGATGGAGTGTAGTCTTGAGAGTGTATAGAGGCTGGCAGAGGTCATTCATCTGCATGTAGAGAGAGGTGGAAGGGGGACATTGTGTTTTTGCAGATATGGACGGGATTGACAGGAATCCAGTACCGCACTGGCCAATTCCTAACCTATTCGATATTCACCTTCGTTGCATGGAGAAACATCATTTTCGGATGTACCTTGTGGCTTGTTGAGGTGCAGATTTTATGACTAGAGTGATGGAGTCAAGAGTGCCACTGATTCTTCCAATAGTTACTTATGGAGAGACTTGGGATTGTACTATATACATTCTATACTGATTGTTTCATGGATTTGAACCGCGAACCACCTGTCCCGGTTCGATTCAGCACTTATGTAGAGATTAGAACAGTATATAGACAGAAGAGGATATGGAGAGATTTTCTTGTGAGGAATTATGGAGAGGAGTACTATAGAGCTGTGATAGAGTCACCTGCACCTTTTGTGACTCCTTTGTTGAGAGGTCACATAGTGATTATACTCACTTTGTATTAGAGGGAGTGTGAAAAAGCATGGGAACATCAATTGATATGGGTGAGGTTCTCAATGCAATCATGGCGGAGATGAAGGAGTTGAGAAAAGCGATAGTAGATGGGCATACCAAGCAGCAAGCCATGGAAGATAAAATCTTTGCATTAGAGAGTGAGAAAGTAGATAGAGAGAGAGTTGGAGAGATGGAAGTTGAACCTCAAGTTCAAGCTTCCCAAGTTCAGCCAGAACCAACTCCTATTGATGCAGCAGAGGCAAATAGGAGACGTCTTCAAGAGATTGAAGATCAAGCAAATCTTTTGCTTCGAATGGGAAAATCCTGTAAGGTGGAAGCTTACAAAGGGAGTAGAGCAATGGGAGTGTTAGAGGGATGGATTATGAGGATGAATATTCATTTATCCCATTTTCATGTTTCTGATTATATTGCAGGAATGTTCATGAGATCTTATCTTACGGATAAGGCTCTCACATGGTACACAACATGGGAGAGAATGCTTTCAGAACGAGGTGCTACCATTTCGTGGAGTGGAATGCAGGAAGGACTTCTGCAAAATTTTCAAGCGGTGGATTCTCTTCAAACTGCAAGAATGAAGTTGTGGGATCTGAAGCAGAAAGGAGGTATTCATGAGTACATTGAAGAATTTCGTGATCTTCAAGTATCTATCATGGATATGAGTGGAGCTGAAGCCTTGGACGTGTTCAAACGAGGCTTGAAAGATCGAATTCGAAAGGAGGTGATGGTAAGCAATCCATCTACTGTGAATGAAGCAATCGCAATTGCTCAACGAATTTCAGGTGCTTTTGGTGTCACACACGGTGAGCCAGTGAGCAATTTTAGAGATCCATCTGGTCCAACACCGATGGAGTTGGGAAACCTTCGACGTAGAGAAGGTTTTGCACCAACAAGAGGACCACCACCAAGATTTGGAGGAGAGATTAGGCGACCAGGAGTTCCAAATTTGCAAGAAGGTTATGCAAATAATGGAATGGTTCGAGGAGGAGCTGGAGTTCGTGACAATCGCCAATGCTATGCATGTGGACGAATGGGTCACATAGCCAAGTTTTGTCGAGTTCGGCCGACACAACAAGGAGGACGGCCCATGCAGCGACGACCGTTCAACAATATGGAGGGGATAGAGTATGAAGAGGTGGAGGAAGCAGTTTCGGGAAACGAAGATCACCAGTAATCTTGCCTCGCGGCCTTACTGGTTCTACAAAGCGAAGAAAAGGCGAGGTTGGAAGAAAGCAATGGTTGGGAGCTCATGGAAGGAGTAAGAAGCAAGCTCAACTCATTGTCACTGATGGTTTCATGGAAGGACACAAGGTGAGAGTTTTAATTGATCCTGGAGCAACTGAGAATTTTCTATCAAGGAGTGTTGCTATGAAGTTAGGTTTGATGTTGATGAAGGACGTGAGTGAAGAAGTTGAATTGCCAAACGGGCAAACTGAAGTGATAGAAACACTACCACGGAGTGTAGAATTATCCATAGGTAGATACAAGGAGAGCATTGAATGGAGAGTAATTCGTTTAGCTCGGTATGATGTCATCCTTGGAATGCCATGGATGGAACAATATAATCCGAAGGTAGATTGGAGAAGAAAAGTGATTACAAGTAGCGGATGGAAGATCTATGGAGATAGAATTAGATCTCAGAATAGGAATTTACCCCTCTTTGTGATGGGTACAGCATCCATTTCTAGAGATGATGTATGTTTCCTTGGACTTATAAGAGATATTGGGTCCACGGACAAACCTTACATCCCGGAGTCCTTGAACGACATTTTTATGGAGTATAAAGATGTTTTTCCAGATGATCTACCTGCAGGATTACCACCAAAGAGGCGAGTTGATCACAAGATTGAGGTGATACCTGGAAGTACACCAACTTGCAAAGCTCCATATCGTTTGGCTCCAAACGAATTGGAAGAATGCAAAGCTCAAGTGGAGGAGATGTTGAGCAAGGGATTCATTCAGCCAAGTGTTTCACCTTATGGAGCTCCAGTACTCTTTGTGAAGAAGAAGGATGGATCCATGAGACTATGTATCGATTATCGCGGGTTGAATCAGCAAACGGTGAAAAACAAATATCCATTACCTCGTATGGATGATTTGTTTGATCAACTTCAAGGAGCGAAGAACTTCACCAAGCTAGATTTGAGAAGCGGCTACAATCAAATTCGAATTGCAGATGAAGATGTTCACAAGACAGCTTTTCGTACTAGGTATGGACACTTTGAGTATCTGGTGATGCCTTTTGGTCTCACTAATGCACCAGCTACATTCATGGGATTGATGAACGATATCTTTCGCCCTTATCTAGATAAATCTGTCATTGTTTTTCTAGATGATATATTGGTGTATAGCAAAACTTTGAGTGATCATAGAAGTCATTTACGAGAGGTACTTCAAGTTTTAAGAGACAATCAATTGTATGCCAAAGCTTCAAAATGTGAATTTGGCAAGTCAGAAGTAGATTACTTGGGTCATAGAGTTACAGCTACAGGAATCCAAGTGATGAGTGAGAAGATAGATGCCATTCAGAAATGGATAGCACCTGAGGATCAAACTCAATTGAAGAGTTTTCTAGGGCTCACTGGATTCTATCGTAGATTTGTGAAAGGTTTTGCTCGACTAGCTCAGGCCTTGACTTCCATGTTAGGGAAAGGTCAGAAGTGGAGAT